ATATGTCTTATTACTCCTAAGATCTTTCCTAGCACAATGAGGGCCCAGGGCTACACAGAAGAGAGATTTTATCGATTCATATTTTTATAACCTCCCCAATGAAGGAAATAATGTGGACCAAGACTTTAACTTAACCAAGATTTTAATGGATACAAAATGGGCCTAGCAATTCTGGTGAAGGGGAAGGTTGTGAGTTGGCAGCTGGTATTGCCTGGCCACAGCTTATTTGGATTACTCATAGTAACTGCTGCCTTCAGTCCTACTCATTTGCTGCCCAAAAAAGCTGGAGAATATCATGAAATTCTGGAGACTGAATCACTACATATTTTTGTTATGTAATCTCAATTGGGCCTTCACTGCAGTCAGGAAATCTCTTTACACTTTCCCAATCAATTTACCATCCCATTCACAACAGCAACTCTTCTTAACCTCTTCATCCCTCCTCAAACCTCTCGTGACTCTTTCCACAAGCTACTGCTCCTGGAGCACCCCAAGTATCATATGCAGCCTACATCTGTGTCACAGAAGTCACTGAGGCATCACATTAGAATGCTGAAAGAAGAAGTGGGGGGTGGATTCAAAAGCTATTTGGTTAATCTCTAGTTAGTCTTTAATTTTCTAAAGGCCAGGTGGGCAAACTGTGAAGAGGTTCAGTGACTGGAGTTTTGAATTATTGTGTTATCCTTACCAACCAACTGTATTTATTGAGCTATTTCCTCTGGTTTGCAACTCTTCAATGTAGTCATCTGGAAGGGATTTGGGTGTAATGGCAACAGTCTATTCAAATTATCAGGGAACCCAAAACTTTGCTTTCCCTCTCTTCCCAAAACGGGGTTTACTTTGAGACAAGTGATATGGGCTCCCACTCTGAATGGCCAGCATCAATAACAATTCCCACTGACATAACACTTTAGGACTTAAAAAGTGTTTTCCCAACTGTAATGAAGAGAATGTAGATTAGGCGGCAGAGGACCTGAGTCTGAATTCTAGCTTTGTTACTTACTAGCTATGTGACCTGGTTCCAAGTCACTGCATCTCTCTGTACCTCAGTTTACTCAGCTGTAAGATGAAGGATTTGATTAGGTCATTTCATTAGTCTATTCCAATGGAGGTTGGGATATTCATCTTTTCAGCTGGGCTTGCTCTTCAAGGGCAGTTATTGTCTCTGGCATTTTCTATTTGAGGATCAAGGTGATGCTTTCAAGAGAAGTAATTATTCTTTTTGAGAAAGGAGAGAAACCCTTAATTTAGGATTGGCAGAAGACTCTTTAATTCTGTTCTCTTATCTGGGCTCGAGGGTTGTTCTGCACTACCTCCCAAGCAGCAGATGTCACAGCTGAGAAGCACAGCCTCTTGTAGTCAGGGCTATGAGGTCTTTTTACCAATCCTTTCTGGATTAAGAAGAGGTTATCATAGTGAGAAATGTTACTCAAACATTACAGTTATGATAAATAAGATTTCATCTCTGCCAGCTAAGCCATAACTGAGCAACATATATTTTTGTCCAACAATCATAAAACAGTTCTCGGGGGACAGCATGTTATGGTTTCTCAGTTATTAACTCCAAAGTTCTCCTATTGGTCATTTGCTAATGAGCAACTGAAACAGAGAATAGACTTTGCCCTTGTTTCTTGTTCAGTTGTTTCAGTTGCATCTGGCTCTTCCTCACCCCATTTTGGGGTTTTCTTGGCAAAGATCCTAGAGCAGTTTGCCATTTCCTTCTCCAGCTCATTTTACAGATGAGGAACCTGAGGCAAACAGGGTTAAATGATTTGTCCAGGGTGACAGCCCTGTCTAAAGGCAAAGTTTTGGCAACTATTTTTTTAAAGTTTTTCTTTGGCAAATCTCACATTGATTTTTATCGTTGCCTCTTTTTGATGTAAAATTGTCAAAGTCTAAAAGGGCAACACCCTTTCACATGGATATGACCTCAACAAATTATCTGAGGGGAAAAGGAGGAAAGAAACATTGAAACTGACTCTTCTTAACCTCACTGAATCTCCTGAATGCGTGGCTAGAATGCAGTCTTCCCTCATAGCCCTTTAAATTAATTCCTCTCCTGCTTCAAGACATGGCTCAAGCACCACATTTTAGATGAAGCCTCACAGTTGTCACTGGCCTCCCTCCTCGACTACCTTGTGTTTTGTAACGGTATTTTTATTCTGTATATAGACTTACTGATGTGCTATTTTTTCCTCTCACTAGAAGGTCAGCTCCTGGAGATCAGAGATTCTTCCATTCTTTGACTTTGCACCCCCAGTGCCTGGCACATGATTGATAATTTAAATGCTTGTTGCTTGTTTGGTGATTGATTGATTGATTGATTAATGTTATAGAGAACATTCCTTTCCAGATATAGTTTAGAGGAGATGCCTGAAGAGATTCCCCTCCAAATCTGAAATTCTGTGATCTTTTCCCTCTTTGTGTCATAAACATCTAACATAAGACTTTCCCTATCATGGATATGGAGTAAATATATGTTCAAGATGGTGATTTTGAGTTCCATGTCTTTCTCTCTCCCTCCATCCCTGCCCCTTTTCCTAAAATGGTTGGCAAGTTGATATAGCTTATACATGTGCTATCACGTAGAACATATTTCCATATTAGTCACAGTTGTGAAAAGAAAAAAAAAACATGAAAAAGAATAGAGTAAGTAACAAAAGTATGCTTCGATCTGTATTCCGAGTCCATCAGTTCTTTAACTCGATATGGATAGCATTTTTCCTCATGATTTCTTTGTATTTATCTTGGATCACTGTGTTGCTGAGAAGACCTGAGTTATTCATAGATCATCTTCACACAATGTTGCTGATATGGTGTGCAATGTTTTCCTGGTTCTGCTCATTTCACTTTGCATCAATTCCTACAAGTCTTTCTAGGCTTTTCTGAAATCTGCCTCTTCATTATTTCTTACTGAATCATAGTATTCCATTACATTCATATACCACAGCTTGTTCAGCTACTCCCCAATTGATGGGCATTCTTTCAGTTTCCAATATTTTGCCATCACGGAAAGGGCTACTATAAATATTTTTGCACATATTTTGTAAGTCCTATTCTCTTTGTGATCTCTTTGGGATACAGACCTAGCCATGTTATTGATGGATCAAAGGATATGCACAGTTTGGTTGTCCTTGGGGCATAGTTCCAAATTGCCCTCAAAAATGGTTGGATCAAGAGATAACCAGGTGGAGGAAAAGCAGGGACTTGCTTGAGCTCTCCCCCAAACCCCTCCAAATACCTGTAAAAAAATAACTAAACAAATTCTAGAGCAGCCATGGTATTTTAAGTTTGTGCCCACTCTTTCTCTCTCCTGAGCTCTGGATATGTTTGTGGGAGAGTGTGCCCTGGAAGTATGGGAGAACAAATGTAACTAGTATCTTTGCTATGCCACCTGCCAAATTAAATGTCTTTCTTAAGGAACTGAGTTTACTGGCCAGTTAAGGGGAAGTATATCAGTGGGGGCTCCTGAGCTAGAAGGATAGGCACCCACAGCATTAGTAGACTCCCCAGATCCCCGGAAGGAGTAATAGCCACTCCTCTAGGCATGCAAGCCAGCCAGTGGCAGTGTGAGTTGGTCAAGGGAGCTCCAAGTATGGTGTTCCATAGAGAAAAATAAGACCAGCCTATGTGGTGGGGATTTAGGAAAATTTAGCCCATCCTACTTGTCAAGGACTCTAGTGGATAGTACTCCTACAATACTCTACTAGTTGTCTCACGCATGCTCTCTAGGCTCTGAGATTCAGCACCCTCTCCCAATCTATGGATCCCTCTGGGCCCCAAAGCACTGTGGGTGATGGAGTCCAGAAAAATGAAGATAAAATGCCCATTAGGTCCCCTCTGCACAATGATGGTGTTGGACTCTGAGTGCTGAAGTCCCTTCTGTACTGACATACTCTGGTGCTCAAGGATGGGATTAAAAGCAGGGAGGGGGAAAAGGTGAGAGTCCCACAATCTCAGAAGTGATCTTGGGAGAGAGAGGAAGGAGCTTTGCCACCTGTTAGGCTTTGGGGCTCTCCTCCCCCATTTCTATCTGTTTGAGCCCCTCCTGCTGCCTTGTCAATGCAGGTGTTGGAGGAAGAGCATCTTCTTCATTTGTCCACCCCAGAAATGTCACTCAGGAGGTTCATTGAACTAGAATGTAAAATAAAAGGCAGGGAGTAGAATGGAGGAATGATGTGGGAAATGTTATGGATAAGGGATCAAGTGGTTCTAGTTATAGCCTCAGAGTGGTACAGTGGATAGAATGCTAGGCCTAGAGTCAGGAAGACCTGAGTTCAAATCCTATCTCAGACACTTACTAGCTGTGTGACCCTGGTAAAGTCATTTAACCCTGTTTGTCTCCATTTCCTCACCTTTCAAATGAGCAAGAGAAGGAAATGGGAGACCACTCCAGTATCTTTGCCAAGAAAAACCCAAATGGGGTCACAAAAGAGTCACACACGAGTGAAATGACTCAACAACAAATGCCACTTATTTGCAAACCTTTTAGGTTTACCCAGTCTGTTTCCCTCCCGTCATCTCCATGAAAATAAGATAAAAAAAAAAAATTTTGCCAGAAATTTTCAGAGTCCTTCTGGCTCTGACTTTCTCCATTCTGTATTCTAAATTCCTTCCCAGCTCTGACAGGGTATAGTCAAAGGATTTTAGGATGCTTACTGAACAACAATTGATTGCTGATGAAATATGAGTGCACTTACCTGTCCTTGATGATTCCCAAGGCCTTTTGGCAGGGGCTCAAAAGGTAAACTACAATTTAAACACAATTTTGGTGCCCCTTCCCCCTAAATATCTCCTGATCTATTCTGGCTGTTCTCCCTTAGTCTATCCTCAGCCTTCTGAAAACAGTTAACTCAGCAGCACAATAGTTGTTTTCTGGCCTGCTTCCGTGTAATAATTAACGACAAAGTTAGGGACGGGACAAGGTACAGGCAGCAGGAGTCTTTCCTCTGCTTATAAAAGTGTCTCATCCTCAAAAAGCACTTTCATTCTTTCCTGAGTGGCCTGGGAACACAGATTCCTTGTGGTGCGGTGATGGCATTCTGGGCTCCTGTGTTTATAGTCCTGGTGACCACTGTCTTGGTAGTGCTGTATAGGCTGGGGGCCTTGCGCCAGAGGAGACCCAGAGAGCCCCCTCTGGACAAAGGCTTTATTCCCTGGCTGGGCCATGGCAGGGACTTCTATAAGGATGCCTCCAATTTCCTGAAGAGGATGCAAGAACGTCACGGGGACATCTTCACTGTTCAGCTTGGTGGCCGATACATCACCTTTGTCACAGACCCCTTTTCTTTTGATGCCATTCTGAAGGAGGACAAAAGCAAGCTGGAACCTCATAAGTTTTCACATGAGCTGGTATTCCAAGTCTTTGAGTTTCAAAGACTGAAAGATCAGAAAAATATGACCAGGAGTAACACTTCAAAGCACTTGACGGGTACTGATTTAGTTGGGATAACCCAGGCCGTAATGGATAGCCTGAAGATCCTGATGCTAGAACCTGATGCTGGTCTGAGATCAGGACCCCAGGAGTGGAAGCAGGATGGGCTATTTCAATACTGCCATAGCACTGTCTTTAGAGCTGGTTACCTGGCCTTGTTTGGGAACTTACCTACTAATGGCAAGGCAGGTCATGCTCAGGATCTGCTCCAATCCCAGAAAATCTTTGAAGAGTACAGGAAATTTGACACTCTTCTTCCACAGATGATTTATTCTCTGCTCCTGCCCAAGGAGAAGCAAGAAATAAGAAGGCTAAAACATTTCTTCTGGGATATTCTCTCTCCACAGCACATCATGGAGAAGGATAATGTGAGTGGATGGATCCGTTCCACTCAGCAGCTGCTGTCTGATGTTGGAATATCTGAGATAGAACAGAGCAAGTATAACCTGGTAGCACTCTGGGCTTCCCAGGGCAACTCAAGCGTAGTGCCCTTCTGGACCCTCCTCTTCCTCCTGAAGAATCCCAAGGCTCTGAAGGCTGTGAGGGAGGAGGCAGAAAGAGTCCTCAGGAAAATGGGGCAAGAGATGAGACCAGGTGGGGTGCCCATCACTGTTGAGTATAGCATGCTGCAGCAGACCCCAGTGCTGGACAGTGTCATGGAGGAGACATTACGGATGGTCGTTGCTCCTCACCTGACCAAGTTTGTCATGGAGGACATGATCCTGAAAATGGATGATGGCAGGGAATATGCCCTCCGCCAAGGAGATGCAGTTTTCATCTTCCCCTACCTTTTTCTCCATATGGATCCAGAAATCTACCCAGATCCTACTACATTCAAATATGACCGTTTCCTGAACCCTGATGGCAGCAGAAAGGTAACTTTCTACAAGCAAGGGAGAAGGATCAAGTCACACATGTTGCCATGGGGTAGTGGCATCACCATCTGTCCTGGGAGGTTCTTTGCCCTCAATAAGATAAAGATGTTTGTGCTCTTGATGGTCACACAATATGACATAGAGTTAGTTGATCAGGAGGTGAAGATCCCTTCAATCAATGTAAAGCGCTGGGGACTTGGTGCCATGCAGCCAATACATGATGTCCAGTTCCGATATCGGATACACTTCTAGTTTGAGTGTGAAATCTTTTGCACAAGCCCAAGGATGCAGTGGGGCAGAGGCACTCTTTCCCATTTCTAACTAAACACCAATTCCCCAGAATCTCATCCCCTATAACATAGATCTTGGCCTCACCACCCTACTAAATTGCTCTCTAATGCCCTTCCCAATCAACACATCCTATTGTCTCTTCTCAGACATGTTTCACTTCTCTGTAGCTTTGGACGCTCTTGGCTATCCCTTCCTCCTGAAGACTCTCTTCTCCCTGGGCTTCCTCTCTGACTCTTCCTTAATCTCCTTGACTGATTCCTCTTCTGCTTGTGGGTAGAGGTTGCAGAGAGATTGGTTTCACTTGAATAACAGGGGGAGAAACCTCCAAACAATTAGGGCTGTCCCATGGTATTGTTCACAGTGGGGGTAGGTTGGTGGGCCAGTGCCACTGAACATTAGCATTCAAAGATTAGACAACTCTTTTTTCAGGGATATTGTCTGGGATATTCTTGCTCAAGTACAAGTCAGACTCAATCGCTTCTGAGGTCCCTTCCAGGCTGAGGTTCTAGGAGTGAACAGCCGTCTATAGGACATCTTGGATTCTGTGACCCCACTCTCTTCCTCTATCTGTCTGCTCTTTCTCTGTCTCTTCTGCATGCCTCTTCTCTTTCTCCTGCCCCTGAGCTCCCAAGGTTCTATTCTTTCTCTTCACTCTCCCCCTTGGTAATCTCTTTCCCTCCTAGAGTACAGTTAGAACCTCTATTCAGATCATTCCATGGCTACGTTCCAGATCAAACTCTTGGTCAACTTCCAGTCCAGAATGTGTGATTGCCTTTGGCTAGCTGCATCTTGATGTCCCAGCTATATACATCCTAGACTGAAATCATCTTTATTTTCCCAAGGCTGGGACCTTTCCCTAACTTGTACCTCTACATTTTTTTTTTGCACCACCATCCTCCCAGGCACTCAGACTCTCTGCGCATGGAGCAATTTTTAACTCTAACCTCCTTCTCTCTTTTCCTCATAGCCAGTCAGTAACTAAGTTCTTCCTTTTCAATCTCTCTCACATCTGTCCGATTCTTTCCATACCCACTCTCACAATCCTGGATGTGTGGGGCATCGCTTCTCATCTGGACTGTTGCAATACTCTCCTGCCCAGCCTCCTGATCTCACCAATCCCATTGATATAGGCTACTAGATTCATCTCCCAAAAGGAACTCTGACACCAACACTCCATAGCTCAAGGATATCCTGCTTCTCCTATTGCCTGTGGGATAAGGTCCAAATTCCTTAACCCAGCAGTCAAGCTCCCCAACGGCCAGGTCCCGCCCTTTCTTACCCACCTTCTTCTCCCATAAGTCCCCTATTCATACCATCTTTTCCCTTTCAAGTGGACCATTCACAGTTTCTCAAAGATGCTCTGACTTGCTACATAGGCAGAGTTCTGCTTATGCATGGACTTGGAATCAAAAAACCAGGGTTCAAATCCCAGCTTTGCTTTCTGCTATAGATGCTTGATGTTTGATGTCATTTCCCCTCTGTAAGGCTCAGCTGCCTCTTCCATACAATGAGAGTCTGACTAGGTGATCTCTAATCCCTTCCAGCTTTCAACCCCATGATACTCTGCCCAGAATATTCTCCTCCATATCTCTATCTATGAAAATTTAACCCATCTTTCAATTCATGTATATTTTTATATCCCACCTTGGCTGCTGTCTCCTTCAGGGTGCTACCAAATTGTATCCCAGAGTACAGATTTGTCAGTCTTTTACCAGTACTGTTTGGACAGACGTTGCCTTGACTGATGGCCACAAGTTTTTTGGCTCTCTTGGCTCCTTTAAGCCTAGAGAGAGATATTAGCACAGCTTAAATTATCCATTAAGACCATTCAACTAAGCTGGGAAATAATTTTTACAGTCAGTGTCTTTGATAAAGACTTCATTTCTCTCCCATAAAAAGAAAACCCTAAAAAAGAGACTTCATTTCTCCAATATACAGAGAACTGAGTCCAATTTATAAGGATACAAAACATTCCCTAATTGATAAATGGTCAAAGGATATGAACAGGTGGTTTTCATATGAAGAAATCAAAGCTATCTATAGTTATATGAAAAAATGCTCTAAATAACTATTGCTTCTAGAAATGCAAATTAAAACAACTCTGAGGTACCATTTCACACCTATCTGCTGGACACTGTTTGAATGGCACTTAGACCAGAGGACTTCGCTGGATGATGTCTACAGTGCCGGACAGCTGTATGAGAAGAGACTTCTGAAGCTTTAAATGGACAATTTATCATTACTTTTGGGTCCCTGTATCTGTACTTAATAAGGGGACTGCCCCCTTTTTTAATTTGTCAATGTGTCGGTCAATTTATCCCTGCCTTCTCCCATATTGTTTTAAGTCCCTATTGAAATGTTGCCCAGTAGCACAGCCCCAGATAGAACCATCACTAAGGCATTGCAAGGTTTAACCACTGCTGATCAAGGAAGGTGGAGTCTGATCCCAAGGGTTGGCCCAAAACGCAGGGGTGGGGAACTCCATCACTAATTGACTGGAAAGGTGGTTTGGAAAGTGGAAAGGGGTAGCAGTGTCTCTGATAACTTCCCTTATTGTAGGTATAGCAATTATGACTATTGTGGGATGTTGCATAGTCCCCTGTATAAGAGGATTAGTTCAAAGATTGATAGAAACCACATTGACTAAGAGATCCCCACCCGAAGAGTATACCAATTCACAAGTCATGGGGCCAGAGAAGTAAGGATTATGATGGAAAAGACGGAGATAGCTCATGCTAAAAAAGTTTGAAAGAGATCAAAAGAGAGTGTGGGAGCATGATTTTTGTAAAGAAAAAGAGATGGGATTGTAAGGGACAAGGTATGCTCCCACAATTTAAGATAAGCTTTGACATCTTATAACATCAACAAAGAATTTGCTAATAACAAGTTACATTGTTTTAACAAGGTTGCAATACCCTGAAAGGGCAAGGCAATGAGAAGGGCCGGTTTTAACTAGCCCTAAGTAGGACAAAGGGCATGGGCTTTTGGATGATGAGGGATGGGGGGGGCATGTCAGGGGGACATGGGATGGGTGGATGTGTAAGATTGTAACCTGGAAAGGAACAGACCAATCCGGGCCTGGAAGGGAGGAGTCACGGCATTCTAACAGTATAAAATGTTTTCTTGCTTCTGTAATTGGCGAGGTCTCTTCTGAAAGGTTCTGCCCAGTTCTCCCAAGAACCATAAAATAAATGATTCTTCACTCACTCCGAGCTTAGTTTTATTTTTAACTAGAAGGCTTTATTTCTCTAAGGGCTTATTTCTAACACTTCTTTCTGCTCCCCGTTCCTCCCCAACCCTTCTTTCTGCTCCCTATTCCTCCCCAACCTTCCTTCTGTTCCCCATTCCCCCTCGACCCCTCCTACAGCTCCCCATTCTCCCCTGCCCCACCTTGTTTCCCATCCCTCCTCCTTGCCCTCCCCCTCTTTCTCTTGGTTTCCCTTCCATTTTCCTCTGGCCTACTCTCCTTGGGGTCCTGCCTCGTTCACCTTCCATGTCACCTATCCTGCATTTCCTCCCCAGGCCCCTGTTCTGGAGGCGACGTCTACTCGCCTCCTCCCCAGGACCTTACCCCCGAGGAGACCCCTACTCAGGCTTTGGACAAGGGTCTTGCCTCGGCACTTCCTCCCCTGGCCCTTCCCCCTGAGGCAAGGACCACCCAGGCCCTGGCCTTGGCCTCAGTTTCGGTGGTATCTCCTCCTCTGATCCCTCCACTTCCTCCGGTGCCAGCTAATCTTTTCCCCGGCCAGCCAGTTCCCCAGCCTTGCAGTCCAGTCTAGTTCAGCCGGGACTCCCCAGTCCCTCGCTCACAAGAAGTGAGATTTCCTATCTTCCTCCCCTGAAAGCCCCTGTTCCCACATTGCCTTCAGGGTTTTTTCCTTTAAAGAAAGTATCTGCCTCTACTAATGGGACAGTTAGGGTGCATGTTCCATTCTCCATTTCAGATCTTAATCAGGTTAAAGAAAGACTGGGTCAATACTCTGAAGATCCCACTAAGTTTACTGAGGGGTTCAGGGACATGTCCCTACAATTTGAGCTTTCTTGGGGTGATTTGCATGTTCTCTTTTCCACCTGTTGTACCACTGAGAAGAGGAGAATCTGGGGACAAACCTAAAAATTTGGCGATCATTTTGCTAGCAATGACCACACAAAATAACCCCCCAGGAATAGCTGTTGTTCCTGCTAGTGACCTGGGATAGAATTATCAGAAGAATGAGGGTAGGGAAAGAGAGACCACGTGGTAATTTGCCTGTTAGAAGGCCTGAAAATGGCATTTCAAAAGCAAGTAAATTTTCAAAAAGCTAAGGAAATTACTTAGGGAGAAAAGGAAAATCCTGCCCTTTTCCAAGACAGGATAGTAGAAGCTATTAAAAAGTACATGAATTTAAATCCTGACTCTACAGAAGAAGCAGCAGTCCTTAGCATGTATTTCATTAATCAGTCTGCCCCAGATATTAGGAGGAAATTGCAGAAATTGATGATGGGGCCCCAAATCCCTCAGGCCTAAATATTGGAGATGGCCTTTGGAGTCTTTAACAACAGAGGAGAAACAACGTAGGGAGAGGGCTAGAGACAAAGAACATGCTCAATTCCTGGCTGCTGTCATGGCCAGGAAAAGGCCCGAGGGTGCTTCTGGTCACTCAGCAGTGGGGAAACCTGCTTTCAATGCCACCAGGAGGGCCACTGGTCCAAGGAGTGCCCCTCTAGGGCACCCCCCCCAGAGGAGGCACCCAGGACTGTGCCCAACATGTGACCAGGAGAGACATTGGAGGAAGGATTGTCCCCAAGGTTGGAGAAGTGGTGGAGCCGCCCCCCTGTACTCTGTCCTCCAGTCCTCTCAAGACTCGGAATGATGGGAGGGCCTGGGGCTTGGCAGTGCCCCCACGTTTCCCATCTCTCTTGCCAAGCCCTGGGTGGAAATTGAGGCCGAAGGTAAGGTTACCCACTTTATATTAGACACGTGGGCTACTTTCTCTGTTTTAACTAATTACTCTGTCCCTACTCACCCCTTGACCTGTTGGGTCATGGGTATCGAAGGGAAAACTGAGGGATGTTGTGAGACATACCCTGTCCCCTCCCTATTTGAAGATCTGTTATTTGAACACTCCTTCCTTATCATCTCCTCTTATCCTACCCCTTTGTTGGGAAGGGATCTGATGGTGAAATTGGGAAGCCAATCTTTCTCTAGTTAAGTCTCCCATCTCCCTTTTCCTTCTGTTCACCAGACCTCCCCATGTTTCCCTGGAAGTGTGGGAGACAGTTGAGCCAATTGTTTGGGATCAGGGAATTCCTGGGTGAGGTACTCATGCCACTCCAGCTGTTGTTTGCCTTTGAGATTCTAATGTGTTCCCCCATCGCCATCAACATCTAATTAAGCTCAAGGTCTGGAAGGGACTACAACCAATAATTGAAAAGTTCCTTAAGTATAAAATCCTTGTTCCTTGTCAATCTCCATATAATACCCCTGTCCTTCCTGTCAAAAAGCCTAAGGGGGAATACAGAATGGTTCAAGATCTCAGGGCTGTTAATGAAGCTGTTATTCCAATACACCCCATAGTCCCTAACCCATATACTATACTCACTCAGATCCCTGGGAGTATCCAATAAGTTTTCCACCCTGGATCTCAAAGATGCCTTTTTCTGCATACCTCTTCACATGGATTCACAATTTATTTTTGCCTTTGAATGGACACTCCCTGGGAAATCAAGTCCATGTCAGCTAACGTGGACAGTCTTGCCTCAAGGGTTTCAGGATAGCCCTCAATTATTTGGCCAGATTTTGGGGAGGGATTTAAGGGACCTGGAACTAGGGGATAGTAGCTTAATTTAGTATGTGGACGATATTCTTATTCATAGCCCCACCTGGGAGGCTTCTCTGGCTGCTGCCACAGAAGCTCTTGGGCATTCGAGGCTATAGGGTCTTTTTGAACAAAGTCCAGATAGCATGCCAGTCTGTAAAGCATATGGGCCACGAACTAACACCTACCATTGCTCCTTAACCACAGAGAGGAAAAAGACGATCCTGTCTATCCCTGTCCCAGCCACTAAGAAACAACTTCAAACTTTTCTAGGCATGGCTGGATTGTGTAGACTCTGGACCTCTAATTTTGGTCTTCTTGCTAAGCCCCTTTATGACTCTACCCATGGCTCTGACTCACCCCCTCTAGAGTGGGGCCCTGACCAGGCTAAAGCTTTTGAGATCGTAAAATCTAAATTGACCACCACACCAGCATTGGCTCTACCCAACCTAGATGGGTTAGTGGATGAAAGGAGAGGACAGGCTTTGGGAGTCCTGACCCAGTCCTTAGGACTTGACCCTAGAACCGCTGCTTATTTTTAAAAACAATTAGACTCTGGAGCTGCTAGATGGCCTGCATGCCTCTAGGCAGTGGCTGCTACAGTCATTCTAACTGAAAAAGCCTCTAAACTTACACTTGGCCAGCCCCTAGAAGTCCTGACTCCCCACCCAGTTCAGAGCATCCTGGAAGCAAAGGGCCACCAGTGGCTGGCTAGCAACAGGCTCACTAAATAGCAAGCCTTGCTCTTACATACCCCTGACCTAATCCTTCGGGTGTGCTACACACTCAACCCAGCAACCCTTTTTCCAGACAGTGTCCACTCAGGTGCTCTGGTTCATGATTGTGAGGAGACTTTAGATTGCGTTTATGCCAGTCAATCTGATCTAAAAGAGTTTTCTCTTCTGAACCCCGACTTAGTGTGGTACACAGATGGTTTAAGCTTTCTTAACAAGGGGTTAGGGGAGCTGGACATGCAGTGGTTAGCCTCCACCAAACTAGAGAGGCCAAACCCCTGCCCCCTGGGACTGATGGGGTTGGCATCTGGGCCCCAGAAAGGAAAAAGCCTGGACTTTTCCCACATGGCCAAATCTGGCCTTCCCCTGAGGCTATAA